TTTAGCACTGCATATATTCAAAGAGGAGACAAGTCTTCTAATTCAGAAGTCTTTCCTGACACCTTCTCCTATAACCCCAACTCTTAACCCTAAATATCTACATTTTTTTACATTCAAAACATTTTATTGGTGTCTTTCTCATGGCACTTGGCACTTATTATCTTCTATTTCAGTTATTCAGTATACTGAGGCTCACAATTACTGTGGATGGAACTGAGTCTAATTTATCTTGCTATCATTACTAACTCACTAATGTATTGCAAGTTGCAGATATTCATAAAGCAGAATCCCATTGCTCCCTTGTAGAACTTCTGTAAATATTTAGTATTCAGTAAAAATTTACCTTGGTTTCACTGCACCCTAGTCTGTGACCTTGGGCAAGTCAATTAAACCCAACTGAACCTCTGTGCCTCAGTTTCCTCATCTGTCAAACTTACTAACTGGAGTTTCTGTTACAATTAATTAAATTCTGTAAAATTTTTAAAACACAGCCTAGCACATAGCAAACACTATATACATGCCTTGTATTATTGTGACTTTCCAGCCTATTGTGACTTTTGCCTACTACTATTAGCTAGCATTCACTGAGTACCCACTGTATATCAGGCACTGTATTAAGCCTTTATCTGTATTAATTCATTTAATCCTGTGTCAAAGGAAAAGACCATCTCTCAAAATCTGAAACAACATTTGGAGCTGAATTTGTTGTTTCTTAAGCAAGGGAGAGCTGTACTGCTTTCTGAACAAAGCAAAAGTTGAGCTTATGCAGGGTTTTGGGAGGTACGGAGGTGAGGAATTGGTGACAGTGCTGAAGTTAGAGTGTTTAGGGATTGGCTGGCTTTCAGGTTTGGAAGTGTGGCTCCTAGAGTGAGATGTGGTTGATGGACTGACTCTCAGAAGTAAATGACTACCAAAGGGAAAAGGAGAGGAAGCACAGAAAGAGAGGAGCTGCACTAAAAAGAATGGAGAGTAGAGAGAAAAAAAAAGAGAGCCTTTCAGCCATGGTTTCCTTTAATAATCCAGAGACCAGAAACACACCTTTGCCTAGCTGACTCTGTTCTGGAGGCTCTTGTTTTAGCCCCCACTGTCACTTCCCTAACCCATCCATTGTGTTCAGTGCCTCCTCTGTCCCTAGCCAAGGTGTGTCCTGCTGGATCAGCTCCAGGCTCCTTGCTGTGCTATCAAATCAGAATGGCACACAGATAACCTGCAGTGGCATCTCAGAGGTGTGTGTGCGTGGGGGGAAGGGCATTGCCCCTGCTTGGTTGAAGGCCAGGGAGAGCGTCTTTCATTTAATAGTAAGCAAATGTTTCTCAAACTTCTGCAAACTGCCAGGCACTTTCTGCATGCTGCAGAAACAGCAGTGAAACCAGTGGATTCAAACTCATGCCCTCATAGAGCTCACCCTCTATCAGAAAGACAGGCATTTAAATGAATACGTGAATTTACACGGGTATTATAAGTTACATGGTGGTCACTAACTCTGGAGTCAAAGCACAGAAAGAAGGTAGTGGAGGGAGGTGGCTGCAGTTTCCTATAGGATGGTCAAGGAAGGCCTCCCTGAGAAACTAATGTTTAAGGAAAGAATCAAAGAATAAATAGTAAAGAGACCAGAGATGACAGCTGGGTAAACTTGGAGGCTCACCCAGGAATAAGACATGAGATCTGAGGCTCATGGGATATTAGGGAAAGGGGCTCATCTAGAACCTTAGAGGTCATTATCAGCACTTTTGCTTTTAGTTTGATGAGTTGAGAAGCCACTGAATGGTTTGAGAAGAGGAGTCCTATGTGATCTGACTTATCTCTTCAAAGGAACTTAGTAGCTATTATGTTGAGAGTAGTCCTCAGGGCAGGAGGAGCAAGGGTGGAAGCTGGGGGTTAGTTGGGAGGTCAGTGCAGTAATCTGAGCATTTGATGGTGGTTTGGGCTAACATGGTAGAAGTGAGGGTGAGGAAAAGCAGTCAGATGCTGGATATACTCCTCATGGAAGATCCCTCCGATTGAAAGACTTCTTTTATACCACTATAAAGTGCAGCAGTGAGAATGAAAATCCTGGATATGCATTCTCAAAAGACCACAGGTTGACCTAGCATTAAAATCTCCAGAGGGTCTTCTCTAAGTTGGGCAAAAGCAGGGGGAAAAAGAGGCACATTGTAACATCTGGCTGTAAATATAAAATATGTCTATCAAGCAAAGAAGCATGATGTAGACTCAATTCTTTATAATTTTTATAGTATTTTTTTCTTAGATAATTGCATGAATTATGGGGATTTCTTCAATTGATTGCTGGGAAGATAGTGACAATTTAAATTTCTGTGCTATTCTGGTTGCAAGTGGGTGTTTGACATTTTTTTATTTTATTGTGTGTGTGTGCATGTGTCTCTCTCTCACACATACATACAGAGAGAGAAAAGAGAGAGAGGGAGAAAGAGAGAGAGGGAGAGAGAGAGCGAGGGAGAAAAGGAAAGAGAGAGAGAGAGAGAGAGAGAGAGAGAAACAAATTCTGAGCAGGCTACAGAGCTGCTGCTACTCCCTGGGCAATAAAAGCCTGAAATCCTGCTAATGAGGTTTAAAAAACTTAACTTTTCTGTGTGCTTAATAATAGCACTGCCTACTGACATAACCAGGGTTCCTGGAATAATTGCCCTCTTTCACACTTTATTTTTAAGACCTGGATGTGTTGGGGGGTGGGAGAGGAAAGTACCTTTAGGTGAAGAACATTTCCAACTAAAAGTCCATTTCTAGTGCTTCAACATTTGCCCCTCAACCATGTTAAATGCTTCCTTTTAAGTGAAAGTGAAAGCTATAACTGAAATTCATCATTGGAGCTCTGGATGGCTTCCCTTTCAGGGAGAGGATAAAGATTGATCCTTTGCTACAGACTCCATCTTTCCCAAATCGGGGAATCTTCTTATGACACTTTTATCCTGTACCTTCATGGACACCATTTGTGTTTGCCAGTAACAGAATGAGAAGGCTTATAAAGCCACAGAATTTTACTACAACATTTAACTTTGAAGAAAAGATAGAATCTAAGATATAATAAACATTAATATTGTTCGAACCCTTGTTAAGAATAGAAATATTTGAAATATATATATTTAGAAAGCTTTTTAATAGACCATCAGCATATTTAAGGTGGATTTAAAATGTAAGGTGCTGTGCAAGTGCAGTGCTGAAAAGCACTTTTAAAAATTGTTTCTGTACATTTCTACAACTAAATGAACATGTACATTAAAAGGAAGAGAGGGATACCAGTTAGAAAAAGAGGATGCAATCTAATAAAAACTTGTGGTGGCAGATATTGGTTGAATATCTGGATTAAGTTGCCAAAATTATTTTTGCGAAGGGCTATTTTGGGGAGGCAGTAACCTTTCTTCTCAGATATAGATTTTCATGTTGACTTTTAACCTTTAGTCACTGATCAGCAGTTGTACAGTCCTGAATATGTCCTGTTCCATCCTTCTGCCTGTGCTTAAACTGCAAGTTTGAAAAATTTATAGGCATTAAAGGTGGATTTATACAAACCATCATGCTGCTAATTTTCTTTTATCATCCTTTCTGCAGAAAATGGCTGAGAAATTAGAGAGGGGCTCTCAGGGATGAAACAGTGTGTATAAAATAGAGGGTCATTTAAATATAGGCTAAAGTGTAAAATTAAGAGTAGTACCGTGTGTATATTGCTTATTCTTCTTTAGGAATGATTTATTAAATGGGAAGAGATGGTTATCCCTAAAAAATTACAAGAGAGCATGTTTACAGGAAATAGACATGAACTTGTGTTTACAAAGATCTTTATGTACCTGTGTTTGAAGTGTGTTTGCAAGAGTAAGATGCGTTGAATTTACATTTCTTGAGCTCCTTCACACTCTATGGTGATAAATAAGATGCTGCAGGAATGGAAATTTTTCCTCTTTAGACTTTGTAATCTGGTTCATGGGGAAATTGACCAACAGCTGCCTGCACCTGATGGAAGAGGGTACATACATTTGGAGAAACATATTCATGTGTGTCAGTCTTTCAAGAAGGAAGCAGCTAGCTTTCTGCCTTTGAAGATTTCAACATTTACTTTGTTGAAGGTGACCAGATGATCCCTCTCAGTCCCTTCCCTAATTCAGATACATCAAAGACATGATGGATCTTTCTAAAATTCTATTTGGTATTCCAATCTGGAAATGTATTATTGGTTGAGGAAAACAATTTGTGCATGGCCAGGTGCTGTTTTCTTTATCTCTGCATAGAGCTTCATCCTAAGGCTCAGAAATGCTAAGTGAATTTGCACAAGGAAATATCAGTTATGAAATTTGTCTACTCAGTGAACCAGATTCTGAAGTTAGAACAACTATTATATAATTTATATTCCAAGGGGATACTTACAGCACAGAGGCAGTGTTAATCTAGCTAAAATTTGAAGGGCTTTTCCCTTAATCCTTTTCTCCAAATGCCTAATTCCCCTCTTCCAACTCAACACTCCACCATGGTGGAGTGAGGATGTCTCTAAGAAAAGGATGTAGTGGCAGTTATTTAATCATCTGTACATGTACAGAAGTGCCAATGAATGTTTTACTCTCTCTTAGGGATATTTGCTTTGTAAACCATCTCTCTAATTGTGGAAAGCATTATTTTTTCAACTTTAAGCATCATACAGTATGGAATTAGTATATGTAAATGGTATCTTTCCTGATCAGACCTGAAATTATACTGAATAGATGATCATCCACTCTATGTGCTAACTCAGCCCAACACAGAGGAACAGATATCATAAGGCTCATTTACTTAACCCATACTTTGCGAGCTTTCTGAAATTTTCCTTCTCTCTGTCTTGCCATTGGGTGCTATAAGAAATTGTCAGTTCAGTGCTGCAAAGGATGCCTTCATGGGTGAAAAGCAAGCATGCCATTTAGAGCAGGGATAGTGATACATTTTTCTCCCCTGTGTTTTGTTGTGTGATGTAATTAGACTATCTCTCAAGCACAATTTGTTTGTGTGCTTCCAGGAGATAATGATCAACAAGAGATGGTTCCCAGCAAGAAGACCGCTGTTCTTGTGGATGGGATTGTCCTGAATGGCCCTACAACAGACGCAAAAGCAGGAGAAAAATTTGTTGAAGAGGCCTGCAGGCTAATAATGGAAGAGGTGGTTTTGAAGGCTACAGATGTCAATGAGAAGGTAAAAATGAAAACCTATGGGAGATCCCAGGAATGGGAAAGATAGGTTTTTTCCAAATCTGTGTGATTGCATGTAAAGAAGAGGGAAAACACAAGCTTTCATTTCCTCTATACCTTTGTCTCAAAGGGATGTCCAGATACCAAAGCTTGGGCCTTCCCTCACCCAGTCTGCTTCCCTTAAAGGGTTAACTCCTTACTCTTCCAGCCATCATGTGTAGGAAGATTGGCTGAGACCCTAGAACTTAATCAGATAAGGCTATGAAGCACAGGAATGAAGCTTCCTGCTTATTTATAATAAGGATTATAACATTAATAATATGGACATTAATATAATAGTATTAATAATATGTATTATAAAAAACCTGCTGATCTGATTTATACACTCTCTAAAATATACTTTGCTCTCCATTTTCTTGTGCACATTCTTTACGTTGCTAGTGAAAATCAAACAGAAGGTCGAAAAGAGTGTTGAAAACTTTTCTTTATTTGTCTAAATGTCCTTACCAGTAGCTTTTCTGAGCTTAGACTGGAAATCTTGGGTTGTTAAATCTGACTCTTGACTGGTACCAATTACTGGATCTAGGTTTCAAATTCAGATTCAAATTGTTATTAGAACTACTATAATACTAATAACATCTGTTCTTAAGGGTACTTACTGTGTGCTAGGCACTGACCTAAGGACTATTCCATATGTATTTGTGCATTTAATCCCTATAAAAACCCTAAGAGGCAGCCACCATTTATTATCCTCATTTTAGAGCTAAGGAAGAAATTCAGGCACAAAGAGGTCAAATATCTTTTCAAAAATTACACACTAATAAGTATCAGAGCTGGGACCAAAATCCAGGCATTCTGGCTTCAGATTCTTTCCTTTTAACTATGCCTTCATAAGCCTCTTAAAATCACTAAATTATCCTTTATTATGACATTGATCACTTTTCATGTCAGAACTGGATCACCAACAAATGGATGTATGAAAGAGATATTTATCTCAATTATATTAGTCATAATATAAATGGCATTTTAAAAAGATTTTGACTGTGAACTGGTATTTGTTCTGAATTTTTGATGACATGACATTCAGGACAACTAATAGGAAAATAGATTGGCCTGACCCATGAACTTGGAATAGTTGTGTTTAAGGCAAAATCTCTGATGGTTCTTATTCATCCAGATTGTATATTTATAATTACATATTTTCTGCTCTTCTTTGTACTTGTGAAATACTTTGGCCTGCTTTCCTTTGGAGCACAGTTCTCCTTTGGCAGGTTTTTTTTTTTTTAATTGGCCTTTATTCAGTCATTAAATATTAAACTGAATGTTAGCTATGGGTAAGGCATTATATTCAGCCCTGGAGGATATAAAGAAAAATGCGATAGAGGCCCAGCTTTGAATAGAATTTATAATCTAATTGAAAGGATACATTTTCATTAGAAAAGGGAACAGGGGGTCCCAGTGAGAATGTGATAAATGCTGTGAGATTGGAGCAGACTTTGGGGATTTCACGGAGGAGGGGGCACTTTGAGCTTGGATGTGGAATGTCGAGGTTCAGTAAGATTATGGGGGCAGGGAGAAGTCAAGGGGTGGGGTACTCATTTCTAGGGGAAGGATGCAGGATGGTAGATAAAGGAAAGAGCATTTGCAAAAGGACAAGATGTATTTGACATAGCAAGGGGACCGTTTTGCCTGGAAAGAAGGGCTCACACAAGGAACTAATGGGGTATATTAATAAGATGAGAGGAGGAGGCTTAAGATCCTACGTTATCCTAAGTTATCAATTAAGGAAACTCAAGTCAATGGCAGCATGGTAGTTGTGCAGGCTGTCCATGTGAAGTTGGATTGAAAGCTATGCCAGGATTGGGGAAGGAAAGTGTTTATACCACTAAACTCAGTCTACTTTGCCCGAGATCCAACAGGACACCATTAAAATGTGACCTACAGACACATCCCCATGCTTAGTGAGATGATCACTTCTAATGCCCTCTCCAGCAGACATTCTTCATCAGACTCTTTTTTCTAAAATTGAGTTATTATTTACATTTAGTAAAATGTACCCCTTTTGGTGTACAATTCTGAGTTTTGACAAGTCATTTAACTATCATCACAATCAAGATTGATGAATAGAACAGTTTCCCTGCGCTCCTCTTTAACCAAAGCCCTGCCCTCCTCGCTGGCCCCTGGAAACCGCTGATGTATTTTCTGTCTCTATCATTCTTGCCTTTTCCAGAATGTCATGCAGATGGAATCATATTGTAAGTAGCCTTTCAAGTCTAGCTGTTTTCCCTCAGCAAAATGCGTTTGAGATCCATCCATGTTGTTGAGTGTATCAGTAGTCATGCCTTTTGATTGTCTCGGGCACTTTCGATTTACCTCTGCCTATCATGGGCATAGCATCAGAGTTTCATTTCATACCACTTGCACAACTTGACATTTCCTCCCGCTTCCCCCGACAGCCCGCCTCCCAGTCTTCTCACTCCCTGACTACTTCCCCATCTCTCCTCCCATCCACAGCCAAACTTTTTAAAGAGTGTCTACACTTCCTCCCTCCCTCTATTTCTTCACCTCCTACATCTTCACTTCAAGGCAATCTGGCCTCCACCCCCACCTCTCTAAGTCAAACTGCTCTTGCCAAGAACACCTCCTTGTTGATAAATCCATGAGCACTTCAGTCTTTATCTAATTTGGCTTCTTAGCAGTATTTGACAGTGGTGACCATCTTCTCCTTCTTAAAACTTTTTTTTTTCTCTTGGTTTTGGTAGCACTAAACTCTCTTAGGATTCTCCCTACCTCTCTGGCCTGTCATCCACAGCATAGGTGAGCTCCTCACCTTTGCTCATTCCTTAAGTGTTGGTGTTGGCTGGAAGAGTTCCTGCACCTCCCCTCTTTGCTGTAGTTTCTCTCTGAACCATATTACCCATTTACTATTATATTATTATAGTGTATGCCTGGAACTCCGTTCCTGATCTTTCACAAGAGCCTCAGACCAACTATTACACCCCTTTTGGGTATTCTGAAGGTGCCTTGCATAATATTATATGTACTCGCAAACTCATCATCCCCAACCCACCCCCAACCAGATCCTTCTTCCACTATTCCCATTGCCACTGTCAAACCTTATGTCTAAGCTAGAAACCTCAGGATTATTCTTGGCTCATCCCTTTCTCTCTCTCTCAATGTCTAATTGATTTCCAAGGCCTATTGATTCTGCATTTTAAATAACTCTTGAAACTATACACTGCATTCCTACAGCATCAGCTGTCATCCAGAGCACCACCTCTCTTGCCTGGTTTATTAGTTACCTCTTATTTCCAAATTTACTTGGAATCTCCACATAGCAACTAAAGTTAGTGTCCCAAACATGAATAGGATCATTTCATTCCCTGTCCTAAACATTTCAATGGCTTCCTTAGAGCCAAATTCAAACTCTGTGACATGACACATAAAGCCCACCATGGTCTACATGAACCTTGTTTATCTCTCTGCTTATTCAATCATTTAGTCAGCTCATCTTTATTGAACAACTGTTATGTGCAGGCTCTGTGTTAGTTACTTTTGATAAGTGAGCAAGCAGACCAAGATCTCTGTTCTTATGAAGATTATGTAGGACATAACAAAGAAATGGATAGCAGTATGTCAAAAGGTGATACATCCTTTGGGGAAAACAAAAGAGTAGAAAACATTGACAGAGATGAGATAATGGGAAGATTTATAATTTTAAGCAAAAGAGTAAGATTGCTGTCTTCAAGAAAGTGACATTTGAGCAAAGCCTTGAAAGAAGTGAGGGAATTAGCTACAAAGATATTATTGGAGGCAGAGCATTCTAGGCAGAAGACAAAGACAACACAAAGACCCTAAAATGGGAACATGCCTGGTGTATTCGAGGAACAGCAAAAAGGCCAAGCTGACAGGGGCAAAGTCAAACAGGAAGAAAGTGCTAGATGACACGACAGCGCTAGATGAGACTGGAGAGGAAGTACAGCCAGGGGAAGCAGATCATACAGAACCATTTATGTCTTTGTAAGGACTTCAGCTTTTGCTTTGAAGGAAATAGGGAGCCATTGGATGTATTTGATCAGAGGCATGACCATGGCTTAGGTATAAGAGTATCACTCCAGCTGCTAGGTTGATAGTGGACTCTCCAGAACAGGATACAAGCAGAGAAAAACCTTTGGAAGCAACATCAGTATTGAAGCTTTATTTTTGCTTCTCCCTTCCTCAAAAATCCATGTTCTAGACACACCGAACTTACTTAATTTTCTAGATATGCTCTGGCACCCTTTCTTTTTCAGCCTTTGTTCCTTCTCCTACCTTCATCTAGAAAATCCCTTGTATTACCCCATGCCCTAACCTTTGTTTGATTCATTCTACTCTTACTCTATATAACAACTTAGATATCAGTTTCTCTAGGAGATCTTCTTTGGCTTTGCAAATCTAAGATGGAGCCTCTCATCTGTCCCATCGATAATCTGTATTAATATCATAACTCTTTTCATGCTGAACTCAGGCATGTTTAAATTCCCCACCTGCCTGGAAGCTTCATAAGGGTAGGGTCCATCCGACTCACATCCTCTCAATACCTGGCTCTAGTGCAGGGGTCCTCAAATGTTTTAAACAGGGGGCCAGTTCACTGTCCCTCAGACCTTTGGGGAGTGCACACTGTGGACCCAGGAAGAGTCGGCTGCTAAGCAGGACAGGCAGCGGGGGCAAAAGCACCCAGAGGGCCAGATAAATGTGCTAAGCGGCCTGCATGGGGCCCGCAGGCCATAGTTTGAGGACGCCTGCTCTGGTGGGTAGTCGATTGATTGTGTGTTGTTGTCGAATCTCCAGGTTTGTGAATGGCGGCCTCCTGAACAACTGAAAGAACTTCTTGATTTGGAGATGAGAGACACAGGCGAGCCGCCCCACAGGCTGTTGGAACTCTGCCGGGATGTCATACGCTACAGCGTCAAAACTAGTAAGAACTTTCATTTACTTCCTTGATCTGCATCTCTGACAAGTTCTTACACTTTTAAAGCATTTATTTACCTCTCAATAAAGCTGAGTATGACAATGTTGATGGGGTGAGAAACCTAGATACAAAAAAACAAAACAAAACAGTGGTTCTGATGTTTTTACAATGGCCTGTTTAATCTCTGATCCAGATTCCTTGTCAAAGACAAAGATAAGTTGATATGAAAACTGTTGGTGTTAGTGTTTGTATATAAATATCGTCTTCACCTTGCCAATCCCCATCCTCCATTTGCAATTAAGGCCATATAGTATAACTGCTACTTATCATGTCTTATGTTGGTCCAAAGTGGCACATAATATTTTGATTATGTACATTTGTTAAGGGATTTTAAATCTTGATGGCCCAGAATATGCCAAAAAAAAAATTCAAGAGGGTATCTTTAATATAAATTGTAATATAGTTATTTGGAAGACTCCAAATAGGCAATTGATAAATTATAAATTATCTTAAAGCTGAGTAGTACTCCATGGTATACTACTAAGCGAAGTATCTCAAGAATGGAAAATCAAGCACCACATGTACTCACCAGCAAATTGGTATTAACAGATCAACACCTAAGTGGACATATAGGAATAACATTTATCGGGAGTCAGACAGGTGGGAGGGGGTAGGAGGGGATGGGCATATACAAACACAACCAGTAAGATGTGCAACGTTTGGGGGATGGACACACTTGAGGCTCTGACTTGAGGGGGGAGAGGAGGCATGGCCAATATACGTAACCTTAACACTTGTACCCCCATAATATACTAAAATTAAAAAATATATAAATTATCTTTTCAAATCTAGCAGGATCAAAAACTAAACACATTTAGGCAGATATAAGGAAAATGAATATGTGGTAAGTTTTTGCTAGGATTGTTTCACAGTAATGCTATAACCAACTGCAGTCTTTTGTAAATGTGGTGATGGGCTGTTGTCAGTCTTACACGAAGGTACTATTCCAACTTGACTGCTAACATTCTGCTCACCCAGTGAACAAGTTTCAAAAATGGGAGAATAACTTCCCCAAATTCACATTTCTCAGTGTGATGTAAAGGTAATCTAGTGCTTAAGACCATGTAGGCATTATGCTTTGTGAATTTTGACACTAGGCTAAATTTAGTGGAAAGAACATAATAAAATTCTGGCTAAAAATAATTGGATTATATTCCCTCGAGAAAGTCTGGTGTATGTATCAAAAATCCAGTTAGCATTTCAAAAGCAGAGATACATATCTTATTATTATAGTGCATGTCAGAAGTGTAGAATGACATTTAATGTGGTAGATTTTTCAGTTTACTGGATATTTTCCATAATGTTACCATGGAAATCAATCATAAATTAACACAGAACTAAAAAAAAAAAAATCTTATTAAAATTACTCGTAGCAATGCCTGTTTTTTTTTTCCCCAGATCATAGGAACTTCTCCATGTTTTAGTTGAAAAGACATTTTCTTTTGAGATTCTTGTCTTTTATTGAACTCCCAGTTTAAAGAAGAAAAAACAAAACTAAACTAAAACCAAATGCTGTGAGTCCTAATGAAAGGTCACCAAATAAAATGGTTCTCAAATACTGAAATGTAGAAATAGACCTCCTGCCTCTCTCTCTTTGGTCATGCTGGGCTTCCTAAGACTGAGAATGTTAAGTGGGTTAGCCTGGTGTCTGGTGTGAATATTCACACTGTGGAAAGCCAAGAACCCTTAGGAGCCTTTTTACATGAGGGGAAAAAAGTTAAAGCTGGAACTAGAATTTGTTTGAATCTTTAAAGTGACTGCGTTTGAAGTAAGTTGAATCAGAAAGTGTATGTAAGCTGTATGATGAGTCACATCTTACTCCATCTACAAAATGCTAATTGCACTGGTCCAATTTGAAAAATGAAAAGGCCACTCATTGCCTGTAGCCTGAGGTGAACCCTGCTGGTGAGTGAAATGTATTTGAAGTGAGGGAAGTTACTACTGATATTTTCAGAACCAAAAGCAGCAGGCTGTGATACTTAGATACTTAGGCAAACAGTGTTCAAATAATCCATTTCTCAAGGGTTCTGGTTTGGGTGTGGCTTGCAGAAAACAGGAGTAGGAAAATCAAAGCTTTTAAAAGAGTGTTCATGTTTTACTTAGAAATATATATTTCAGTAGAAAGGGCTGTGAGATGGGTCTCCAATATTTTTTCCTTGTACATAACCATGTTTTGAATAATTTTTTAATTGAAGTATAATTTATATTCTATAAGGTGAACACATCCTAAGTGCTCAGCTTGATGGATTTGTGCATATCTGTACATAAGGAGCCATCACCCAGATAGAGATACCGGCCATTTATTTTTAGGACTGCAGTGGCTCCTTCTAGCCCCTTCCCCACAGATAATTCTTTCTGAAAAGTACCTAGAATTCTAAACTCTATCTCCATGGATAGCTTTGCTGATTCTGAATGTCGTATAAATGGAATCATACTATATGTACTCTTTCATGTCTGGCTGCTTTCATTGTCTGAAAGATTCATTTATGCTATTGCTGTATCAATAGATTTTTTTTTCTTTATTATTGTTGTGTGGATAAATACACTGTTTTAAATTTACAGACCACCCAAGATTTTTCAACCAGTTGTATGCTGGACTTGATTATTACTCCTTGGTGGCCCGATTTATGACAGAAGCATTGAACCCGAGCGTGTAAGTGCCATGCTACTGGAATTTCACACCAAACACGGATTTGAGATATTTTTAAGTGGAACTTTATTTCATAAATTTCAATTTAATGGTTTCTTTTGCATGGTGTCATCATAAATAATGGAATAGTCTTATGACACTTAGCAGTATTTAAAGAGCTGTTTGATTTGTGCAGTAGTACAAATGTGAGGTGGATGAGACAGGCATTGTTATCTCCATTTAACAGAGGAGAAAAATTGATTAAGCTATTTTTTATTAGTTCCTGCATGAAAAGCCATTATCTATGCTAAGCGCCTAAGAGACATTTTGAATAAAAACAAACTTTGACTCTGCCTTCATGGAGCATGAAATCTGGAGAGTTAAAGAGAGATGCTAATCAAAATGATCCACATAAATTAATGTAACATTCAAACTCTCACATGAGGAAAAGCTGCACCATGTCATAGATATAAATGGGGCAGTTTTCCCTAGTGGGAGCTTAGGAAAGGGTACTCTGAAAAAGTGACAGCAGGAGCTGAAGCATGAGTGAATGGTAACCAGATGACAAGGGGAGGGACGAATTCCAAGTAGAGAGAACAGAGTGTATAAAATCCCTGTGGCAGGAGGCAGCATGAGAAACTGTGTGAACTGAAAGGTCAGTCTCAGCCAGGTGAGATGACAATAGATTGGACTTAGACAAAAGAAGTAGAAATCGAAAGAAAAAAACTGTGTTTCCAAGATAAAACAGAAAGAACTGGATAATATTACATCTTGGAAATGAAGATAAGAGAATGTTGTGGCACGAGGCCTGAGTTTCTGGCTTTCATAGCTGGGGTGATGGTCATGTCATTCATTGACATAAGAAGCACAGTGAGAGGGCACCAGTTTTCAAGTATATGGTGAAAAAGACAAGATCAGAAATTCAGTTTTCAGTTGTGGACATTTGAGTTTGCAATGTGTCGTGGCCCGTTTGCAGGATGGAGGATGAACACAGAACAAAAAGAGACACACACACACACACACACACACACACATACACACACACAAAGTTGGTTACAAGACTGCAGTGCATAACGCACCAGTTGTTTTATTTTTATACCTCAAAAATCAAAGTTAGTTCCTTGTACATGCCCACCCAGGTGTGGCAGCGATAGTCATAAATTCCAGAACACATAGCCTAAGGACACAGATGTCTCCTGACTCAAGGTTTCCAGGCAGTTGCTCAAGGTGCCAGGCATAGATCACAGACCGAGATTAGCAAGGTTGGGCAAGGCTGCCACCGGGGGCATTTTTGGTCCCCGTTCCTCTTAGGCCGATTCCCTACAACTGCGCCTAGCTTAGGTCACCCCTCCCTTGAGGGGTCTTACCCGTCATTGACTAACCAGCCATCTTATGGGATTAAGCAGAAATCAAAAGAACAATGTGCTTGTTGTGTGGCCTCTGGGCCTCCACTTATCTTGGGGCTGGGCAGCTCTTGCCTCAATGCAGAAACTCAGGTCTATTGTTATGCCTCTAGGCAGCAACCGTGTTTGTCACAAGGGCCTTGTCCAGAGCACATTACTTTCAAACGCTCTGGGCAAAACATGTACATTACTCACTGAATTTTAATTCTTAAACTAGGAAAATATATGTCAGTCCCCTACAGCAGTGACTTCAAAATATCCAAGAATATTTATGAACTAAGCTGAGAGGTAGGCCTAGAATTCTGAATTCGATATGAAAGGTATAAATTTAAGAGTTATCAATGAAATGATGGTAATTGAAATAGTGGGTGTGGATGAGATTCCACAAGTCAGTGATTCTCAGCTCAGACCACTCATTGGAATTATCTGAGAACTTTAAAAAGCTATTGATACCTTTCTGTGGGTATGTCCAATGCATCGATATATTTACAAAGCTCAGCATGTGATTTTAATGAGGAGCCAAGATGAAGAATCACTTCCAGGGGACAGTTTGCAGTAAGGAGAGAAGAGGGCTTAGGACTGGGCTTTGAGGACGTCTAACATTTAACAGTTAGGAGGATGAGGATCAGCCTACAATGGAGAGAGAAGAAGGAAAAGATCAAGGGGGTTGGCCTGGAAGACTTGAGGAAAGTGTGTCCCGTGTCACATGTTGTTGAGTATTCAGCTAAGATGAAGAGTAAAAAGTGTCCACTGGATTAGCAATATGAATGTCATTGGTGACCTTAGAAATGTTTTGGTGGAGTGATAAGAGCAGATCCTAGGTTATATACACAGTAGAGAAGAGGCAGTCGTAGGGAAGTCAGAAGGTAGGTTGGGCACATTTTGAGTGAATGGGTCAGATTAGCAGCAATTTTGAACCCTGTTTTGTATAGGCTAGGTTTTTTAACTCCTCATCTAGGTTCTTTAATTTGAAATATTTAGAGTTTTTGTAAAACTAAAAATTGCTGCTAATCGGAACCATCCACTCAAAATATGCCCAATCTATGAGTTCATTCTATATCTATACTCCCAGATTGCTATTATATTAATAGTTGAGCTAGTTTTCAAACACAAGTTTAATACTGACTTTTTCTTAATTACAAAAAGGTGAATGATTATTTTATTTATATTTATAGGTATATATGAACATATATACTTTTTTTGTAATTTTGGTTTGCATAAAACTGGTTTCATAATATGTTTGAAAACAGAACTTACCTTGTTTTTAAAATGATGTAGTATCTATAGAGTGCTTGACAGAAAAGTAAGTGATACATATTAAGTGTTCAACTTTTTTTGCCTCCATCCCAAATCTTTCCCTTTCAGACATTGAAATAATTGCATTAAATTCTGTGACTATAAATCTAAATGTGGCTGTTTAGCTTATGTATTTAGAGTATGCATTTATTCAGTTACATTTTAATGCAACCTCTTAATGGAGAAGGAGATTATAGATTTAGTCATCCTCAAGTTTTATCTGGAGAGAAGAGACTCAGACATTACAAAACAAGGCACAATCACTGTTGTAATTAGGGTTCCCAGGCAAGCTGCTCCAGATGGAATTTAGTGAGCAGGACGTTCATTAAAGAGCACCCTTGGGATCAGCATGGGTGACCTGGGGAGTCAGGGAGGAGGATGCAAGAGTGTGTAGAAATGGGAGTCAGCTGGCCATGTAGGCTCATGACGATCTTAGCTGACCCCGTGGAGATCTCTGGAGCTCCAGTGGCCCTGAAGAGTGGGCTGGAGCTGGGTCCAGATGGCCAGGCCTTTAGATCTCCAGCTCCAGCAGTCAGCAGATAGGGACTGCCACAGGAAGGGGCATGAGCTTGGAGGAGGTGGATCCCCGCAGCTGAGGCAATCCCTAAAAGGGCTAACACAGCAGTGCTCTCTGAAAAGAGCATTCTAGCCTGGACCAACAAATCCTTCATTGACAGGAGATCTGGATGGTGCTTTATACTAAAATCATCATCACATAACAAGAGATATCCCACAGATATATCTTAGCATACTCATGGCAGTAACCTAATAAAACCTGGTTACCATGACAACGGATTGACTTTGACCAGCCTCAGCATCCAACACAGTAACCAAAGCATCCAAAGAGTGACTAGCCACGGCTCATGGCTAATACAAAGAACCCAATGCATTGCTTTTATCTCTCCTCATGGAATTGAAGATTTCCTCTAAATTAAGACTGCTAAAATAGCCTGCATATCCCTAAATCCTCCCACCATTGGCATTTGTCTTATCATGAATAGTACTGTCACTGATGGAGTAATTCTCTATTTCCAATGGACAAATTTCCAAAGACCACCTACACTTCAGCAGTCACTTGGTTCAATAAAACTCTATGTGCATTTCCTAGGACACCGAAGGGAGGTTTTGACTCTAGTCATAGAAGTGAAGTGTTTTTTATATCTATCTAGTTATACGTATGAGGTGTCCCCAGTGTTTCTGTTAGTGGAAGAAGCGGTTCTGAAGAAAATGATTGAATTTATTGGCTGGAAAGAAGGGGATGGAATATTTAACCCAGGTGAGTACAATTAGTTCTTGCCATCACCCTTCCACTATGAGCATCTAAAAATTTGTTCATATCAGGAACAAACTCCTTGCGGATTTACACATTACAAAAAGTTGGATATTAATCATGCTACCTGGTGAGAATGCAGCTTGTGCCTTTCTCTAGAGTGAGAATATTTTGTGTTAATGCTAAATAAATGACACACGTGCTTAACAAATAAGATGTCTACAATTTAGGAGTCATATCTGACACAAATGAATTTATCTGCTGTTAAGAGATTGAAAGGTTTATAACTCCTCTAAATTTTTAAATCAACTTTACTTGAGAAGGTTCCTGAATCATATTTATTTATCCTACAATCCCTTTTTTTGGAGCCAGAGATGAGCATGTAATGTCATTTCAATTCTATTGATCAAGGGACAGAATATTGTTAACTTTGGAGACTTAGGTATTGACCTTAAGTCCAGAGCTCATAGATTGAAACTTTTGGTTTGAAAAAACCCTGGGATGAAAGAGTAGATCAAAATTTCTCTCTTTGCTGAGATTAAAAGTTCTGTAGTTAGAGATTATGTAGTGTGTATATGAAATATCTGCAGTGATATTTCATATTTCAGGCGGGGGGGGGGTGTTTGGTTAGATGCCTTTCACACTGTTTTGTCATTAGGCCAGAGCAGCTATAGCCATTTATGTGTTCCCCTGTATTTAGCAGTTAGTGAGCTATAACTTCATGCTATGAATATGTCATTTTAATTTTGTTTTTGCAGGTGGTTCAGTGTCCAATATGTATGCAATGAATTTAGCTAGATACAAATATTGTCCTGATATTAAGGAAAAGGGACTGTCTGGGTTGCCGAGATTAATCCTTTTCACATCAGCAGAGGTAAAACATTATTTTTGATATCAGATATAGATTTTCTGAGAGTGCATATTTAAGAGGGCATATTTGTTTGAGGACTCCTGATGTGATTTTATCCTATACTTGTGTCTAATACTGAAATGTAACATAGTATTTTATTCCAAAGGAAATTCTAATAGGTTTGATATTGTAATGCCTGGCTACCCAATTTTGTATATCACCTTAATTTAAAATTTATAGTCTGTATTATATTGTTAAAAAAACAAGAAAATTTGAAAGAGCTGTCTCTTGCTCTGAATCTCTTTTTTGAGTGTCTTACTTGTTAGAAATTGAACAATCACTACTAATCTTGACCTTGTCTTATACTCACATGTCCTTATAAAATTGACTGCTTTGATTGTCTACTATAAGGGATTTGTGTCTTCCTTTTTAAGGGGTAAGGGAGCTATTCAATAACAGTGAACACAAGACACACACACACATACACACACACACACACACACACATAATTAGATGTTGTCACAGTTCCCTATATCTCTTATTTTACTCTCCACTAAAGTAGAGGTCAGATTATGGATAAGTGCATTGGCTTTGAGTCAAGCTTCCTGGATTCAATTTCTGTCTCCATGCCTTACTATCCGAGTAACTTTGGGTAAGTTGGTTAACTTCTCTGTGCCTCAGTTTCCTAATCTATAAAAAAGAGTGTATCAGTTAGCTCATGTGTCTCACAAATTATCCCAAAACCCAGTGGCATAGAACCACATATATATATTATGACTTACAAGTCTTGGGCTAGTTAGGCAGTTCTGCTACACTTGGCCGGGCTCCCTTCTATGTCTGGGAATTGGCTGACTGATGGCTGGTCTAGGTGTGGCTCAGTTGGGATGACTCCAGGACTTCTCTCTGCCTTGTGTGTCTCTCATGCTCCAAGAGTACAGGAGTGTCCTCATGGCAATGGTACAAGTAAAAAAGAGTATGGAAACACACCAAGCCTCTTGAGTCCTAGCCTCAGAGCTTACCATGGTCACTTCTGCCTCATTTTCTTGGCAAAGTCAGTCACATCTGTGGATCTATACCCAAGATGTTGGAGAATAGAACCCGCCTCCTGAGGGGACCTGCTACACAGTCCCCTGGCAAAGGGTGTAGATTTGAGGAGCAGTGGACAACTGGGGCCTGTCATGCCATCTGGCAACCACATCGTGGTCATTGAGTAGTGAGTTGTTTCGATGATTCAGTGAGTTATTGACTGTAAAGTGGCAGCTGGCACACAATAGACACTCAAAAATATTAGATGCAATTATTAGCAGGAGGAGAATGATCCAGCTATAACAAGGTGGTTAGAAGTAGATGGCACAGCTTAGGTGCTGTCTTTATATGAAAGAAATCCTTTTTTTTCTCTTTTCTATTTTTGTGTGACACTGGTGGGTGCCGCTGTCCAGTCTATCACTGCTTCTTCCCCAGGTCCCTGGCAGGAAGAATCTAGTTTCTTACCTTCTGTGGTAATACCAGGTTCCCTGTCAAAAATGTGAGGTGGGCAAAATCTAAAAGCTCTCTGCTATTTCCAGCTGGGGTTGCCTGTATCTATTATTTTCCTCTTAAAGCAAAAGTTACTTTATCATAGTGAAGGAACAAATTGCACACTAATTTCTCCTCAGTGGGAGAAAACCTGACCACTCCCATGTTTTCCTCCCACCCTGTCTGACCTTTGCTTTGGTTAGGTCAGTGCTAAATGAAAGTGAGAGTTGAGTGAGGAGAGGCACCTGGGAGGAATCATCTAGTCTGAGATCTTAACTCAGCCATTTGAGGTTCTTCCTCATAAGACATTCTTTCTGTAGCAAGAGAAGAATGTCTGTAATGTAGACAGCTGGGAAAAACACTTGGTTATTTGGGATTATTGTGGAATAGAGTTTCTCTGTTTGAGTTTCAGCCTTGGATATTTCAGTCTAAGAACCTCAGTGGATCAGAGATGGAAAATTCCTCCTGTGTTTGGACTGCTAGTTGCAAGTCTGAGAAAGCTGATTAAATGCAGCCCTGGTTATCAGCTCAATATTTTTTCAATTTTTTCTTTTTCATTCTTCATTTGGTTTCAGACTTGCTAGAGTTCTTTTTTTTTTTTTTTTTTTGGAATAATTGCCTTGGAAAGGGAGAAGCCTAGAATAAAAGCAATACTTGGGAAAAGATCAATAACATGGGTGGGGCTGGTGAATTGGGAATGAAAAGAAATAGAAACCTCACATAGTTGTGAAACCAGAACTAAGTGATTTTTCTTTTTAATTTCCAAAAAGAGGCAAAATGTATGCCTTGGCTAACATGCCAGCAGAAGTTGAAGCCAGAAAAATCAAGAAATAGATGTGAATTCCGCAGAAAAATGCCATCACTTTGAGCACACTGGAGCCTTGAATGTACATTTTCACCACACCCATCCAGACCCCACTGGGCAGCTCTTTCCTTTCCCTGCTCTGCCAAAGAGACTCAGGTTATACCATTTGCATTATTTGAATTCATATTTTATTGGCTACCTTCACTGCATATTACAACAAATCAATCCATTTAGGTAAAAAAAGAATTAAAGAACCTTGTGTTTAATAAACAGTCTTAAATCCTGTGTTAGTCTTTTTGCTACACCTTCTTTGTTTTCTTTTAGGTGTTTGGTCCATGGCCCAGTCATTATTTTCCTGCATGGTTTTATTAAGTGGTCTTTTCCAGTTTTTGTACTACCCCAAGTTACTCCACCTCTATTTCGTACCATCAAATACAGAATGTATGCACCCTCTGAAGTATGCGTTTTTGCATTCTTCAGGTTTTGATTGTAATTCTACTATTGATAGAAACCTGTGAGATCAAGACAGAGACCCCTGCACTGTCAATATATCCCAGGTAGCCTCTCCAGTGCTAAATGGGAATCAAAGAAAAGGATATTTTTAGAGAAAAAAAAAAGTAATACATGTATGGCTTGATTAGCAGTCAGATATAAATTCCTTGGGTGTGCAGAAATCCTAGGTTTGTAAAGTTCCTGGCTAATTCAAATCACTTTTGGAATCCAGCATAAAGTAGTGATCATTGTTTGCCACTAAAATAAAAGTGATGGTGAAAAAGAAACTCTTACCTCCCAGGCCAATGATCAGTTGGCCCAGTTCCTCTTGTGGCAGGGCCAGGGCTAGGGAGAGGCAAGTGAGACTTCTAGGGTGCACATCTGAGCATTGTGCTTCCTTAAATTTTGCACCCTGGGTTTCTCATTCACTTCATCATGCTCTTCAGGTGAGACTGAACTGGGCTGGCGTGTTGTCGTGGGCTTCTCAGTGGGCGAGCACATGCTCCTTGGGATGTCCTGCAGGCCATGAGGTTGGACTCAGTCTCTCTGGATTCTGGCTCTGGCCTCTTTAGGAATTACATCAGCTGTGCGTTCTTGGAGAAGTCCCATGGCCATTCTTTTCCTTCATTCTCTAAAATGTAACATTTATATACCCTGTTCTCCCTGCCAGCTCATTTGAGCATCAAATTAGTCAGCACAACAAGAAGTCCAAGTGTCCAGGCCACAGTGTACACTGAGGAGAAAGCAGCAGCTTTATTGAGAAGCCCAAGGTCATAGAAAAAAAAACCATCCTTGTGGGAACCGGAAAGTAAAAACTTCACCTCAATGCTGTCTTTCATTTAGGCACTTGCTGCTTTATCTTTATAGCAGTGAATACCCGCTGAGATTTTTTTTCGTTTTCTGTAGATTTATGAAACCTATGGGGAGGTTGGGTCTTAGAACAACTGACACCTTTTGCCAGTGACAGGAACAGCCACCGTTTGTTTCTAAATGCAGTTGTTACTTCTGAATTCCAGCCTTCTAGGTTTTTCCTTTCCTTGAAACTACTCAGCATGTCTGAAGCATCACCCTCTTTTTTTTTTTTTTCTCTCCTTCCAGGGCTCTTTTCCTTCTCTGATGCTGTCAGATGTTTAGCCTTCAGTTTTGCAGACTTTCCAAAAATCTGCCCTTGTCTATTTAAGATCGACATTGGGCCATACTTTGCCCAGAGGCACTTAAAGATAGCTCTATGAAAGTGGTTATTATTCTGATTATAAGTTTTTTACTCAGTATACCCATTGGTGTGAGATACTCACTATTATTTCTCAGGGGGAAAGCACCATGATTTTCCTTACAGTCAGATGTCAGAGGGGTAGGCCAGCATTTATCATTATGAAATCAGTAGATGTTTGGTTGCCAGAGACCGAATCTCTGGTGAGAAATAATTCACCTTAGCTATGTCTCCTTAGCTATGGCAGGCATGTCACCTGCTATCAGCATAGGCTGATGTAGCAAGTAGAAAATTAATTACATTTTCATGTACATTTTGACTCTTCAATATGCATATGTTCTTATAACAACCTGAAATAAATGCATCCTATAGGCATTTTGGATGCATCCTATTTGATATTTGGAAATTGATTATTTAGGATGGCTTCATTTTTCCTTCTGCATTTATTTTTACAGAGTTAAAAAAAGAGCTCTCAATAAAACTCTCTTGACAAAAGATGGAAAAAATTACCACATTTGAGGGAATATATCAAGTTAAGTGTGAAGGCATGACTACTCTTTTAATGTATTCATACCTACAAATTAAATTACTAAGGTTTTTTTCGGTACAATAATGTCCTTTAGCACCTTCATTTTTCTGGCACGAAGAAGAATTAATTGACCACCTGTCCTCACTAATGTGTAAAGAGAGACATCTCCAATGTTTGAATGCTAATTATTTTATGGGCTTTGTGTAGTGTAGAGAAAAAGGCCCAATGATCTAAAGCATATACTACTATTTGCCAATAAGAAATAGACCAGACCTAATCCCAGAACCATCTATTAGCCTCATGCATGCATACCTGAGTCGTTTGTCTACAAATTATTATTACTTTATTCTTATGATTTTAGCCACATTCCTGTGTATCCAATTTCAGCCTTATATTCAATATTAAACAAGACTGGTCAAGTGTCTGATCAGCATTTATAACCCATTGTTTGCTCTTGGAAATAATTAAATTCTTCTCTAGTCTGTGATTGCATTCCTTGAGAAAGTCTTGCTCTCCTTAGAGGGCTTTGAGTCAGCAGTGGACTAGATTCTAAGTTTCCATTAATAGTGAAGCTTATCTGTATCATCAAGAGAAACTTTTTCAACATTATGGAAAACAATAGCCTCCAGTGACCTAGTTTGTTCCATGTGCCAGACTCTGTGCTAAGCCCCTTGCATATATTCATCCATTTCATCCTATAACAAGCAGATGGAGGCCAGCCTCGGTGGCTCTTGCCTGTAATCCTAGCACTCTGAGAGGCGGAGGCAAAGGATGACTCAAGATCAGGAGTTCAAGACCAGCCTGAGCAAGAGTGAGACCCCATCTCTACTAAAAATAGAAAGAAATTAGCTGGACAACTGAAAATACAGAAAAAAATGAACTGGGCATGGTGGTGCATGCTTGTAGTCCCAGCTACTCTGGAGGCTGAGGCAGAAGGATTGCTTAAGCCCAGGAGTTTGAGGTTATTGTGAGCTAGGCTGATACCACGGCACTCTAGCCCAGGAAACTGAGCGAGCCTCTGTCTCCAAAAAAAAGAAACAGATAGAACAGGCATTATTCACATGACCTCTTTATAGATTAGCAAACTGAGGCTTGGAGAGTACACATTATTTGTTCAAGATTCCATAGCTGTTAACTGGAACACATTGAAGTTAAATCCTGGTTTCTATGACCCCCAAAGTCAATGTTCTTAACCACTGTACTAAGGAGCCCAATAAAATTGCTTTTTTCTTTTTCTTTTATGTAATGATGACTCAAAGATTGTGCTCAGCCATAATGACTTACCCCCACTTGGATAATAAGGCATACTTTCTTATGCTATGTATTGATGTTTCTCCCTTCCCCCACCCCCTTTTAATTCAGTGTCATTACTCCATGAAGAAGGCAGCCTCCTTTCTTGGGATTGGCACTGAGAACGTCTGCTTTGTGGGAACAGATGGAAGGTAATGGGGACAGGATCCGGAAGCTTGGTGGGTGGTGAAAATTCATACTGTTTAAAAAGCAGTGCCATTGGCTGTTAACTACTGAACATAACTGAAAGTCTCAAATCTGTGTCCCTTAGAGGTAAAATGCTACCTGAGGAATTGGAGAAGCAAGTCTGGCAAGCCAAAAAAGAGGTGAGAGGGGAGAAAGAAAGGGAGAGAAAACATGTGTGTGTGTGTGTGTGTGTGTGTGTGTGCATGTGAGAGACAGAGAGAGAGAGAGAGATATTAACGGGGAGCGAATGCACACAGCCAAAACCATTTCTATGTGTGGGAGACAGAAGAGAGCACATTCGAGTTAAAATAGGAAAACTCATTTGCAGATGTTCTATTTCCAGGTGCTTGGCTCTCCATTTTCTGTGGAGTTTCTCGGATGTTCTCATTCCCAGGTGGCCGGAGCCTATTAAAACACTGATGTCACCGTGTTCAGGATTCTTGGCTAGAATAAGCCCTAAGGATGAACTCAGCCTCTCCAACAGGGTCCCAGAAACTACTCTCCTTTATAAATCCTTTCTTTGAGAAATCTACAGGCCAAACCAATTGTCTCTGGGCTGCATTCAGGATGATTCCTGATTTCTCGATCAACCTGTCTTTCTAGGTTTACCTCCAACCCAAACAAAGCCCATCCATCACTACGGGTGTCCAGTCTGGGACTAGTATTTCAGTGGCAGAATGTCCTTTCTTCCTTAGCTGCTAGAATATAGCACAACTGAAATGCTAGAGGAAGCAAGGCATGCCCTGTGTCATGCATGTGCTGTAGCTGAGGCTGGCCCAGATGCCTGCTTTTTATTATTACAAGGTGTGTCACCATTTTAGTGCCAGTCATTTTGCTTTTTGGACCAAAAGCCTGCTGGGTTGGGGGCACCTACTTCACTGCTTCCCTCCTGTCCCACCGTCACCTCTACTGCTAATGGAGCTTCAGACCATTCTTCAGAAATTTTCCAACAGGTAGCAACAAAGTCAGGCATGACTGCTGAAAATGAAAAGCCCAGCTTCTGAGCTGGGATGTAAGTATATTTATCCTCATAGGAGTTTGCACTCTAAGAAGGATGTGTTTTTAAATTTAAGTTTTAATATGATACTTCCATTGTTGTACTCTTTATTTTTTTCAAATTTTCATTAAAAAATCACCTTATCCTGGGGCATGGTAGATCACTACATTTGGTTCGAACTTCTGTACTTAAAGGTTCTGCCATTATTACAGACGTATTGGCTTCAGGTGTGTGCCCTTAGATCTATATTTATCTTTTTTTTTTAACATTCCAATGATAAATGGATTTGATAGTTATCTGTTGGTTGAGCTATCAGATTTCTTTGACTCCTTGGTGACATTCTGCATAACAACTTGTAAGGAGTTTGTTCTGTGAATTACAGATATTATTTTCTAGTTTTAGTTTCATCTTTTTTATATACAAGCTCCTATAAAAAATAACTTTCATTATGTAATTAATGCTTGTTGGTGGGGAATATTGATTATGTTTTTCGTAGGATTCATACGATTCCTTCCTTCCTTCTTCTCTTCCTCCCTCTGTCTTTTCCTCTCTCTTTCTCTCCCTCCTCTCTCCTCCCCCACCTCCTACATTTTAAACTTTTCATTATGGAGTATTTCAAATATACCAAACTAATTTAATAACCATCCATCCATCCACCCTGAAACTTCACCCATCCTTAGCTCATGCTCCTTTCTATTTCATCCAACCTGCATCCCCTCCCACCACCTCTAGGTTAGGGTTTGATGCAAACCCTGAACATCACATCATTTGATCCACAAATATTTCAGTATATCTGTAAAAGATATGTACTCACTTTTTAAAAAAGTAATGCTATGATTATATCTAAAATAATATTTTTATATTATCAAATATTCAGTCTATATTACCGTTTCTCCCATTGCCTTTTTAAGAATAGTTGGCTTGTTTGAATAAGGATATAAACAAAAACCACACATTGTATTTGGTTAATATGTCACATAAAACTTTCTAATTTACAGCTTTCTCCTCCCCTGTTTTCCCCTTCTACAATTTATTTGTTGAAGAAATCAGGTCCTTTGTCCTGTAGAATTTTCCAAGTTACAGATTTTATAGATTACATAAAAAACTTGAGATTCTATATACCCCCCCCTCCTCTGTGCCACTCTGTCTGTTCTCTATATTTCCTGTAATTTGGCAGTTAGATCTTGAGACCGATGAGATTCAAGTTGGATTTTTTTCTTTTAACCAGGAATGCTTCATGGGTGGCATTTTGTCCTGCCATCAGGAGACATCTCATGTCTCTTTTTGTAATAACATTGAGTCTGGTATTGTCAGTCCATTCATTAGAAAGACCTCAGTCCACATCTCAGCTCATGGATTTCACTGCCATTGATGATCATTGTCTAGACCCATTATTCCTTTAAGTGATATTCTAATCCATTCTCTCATTCCTTCTTTATTGGCAGGCATTACACTATGAAGAAAAATGTTCCTGATCCCTATTTGGTTTTCCTAAAGAAATAGTTTACACAGACGATGCAGGATAAATGTTTTATCTTTCCCCTTTATTTATCAGCTTTTACAATAACGAGTTTGTTACCAAGCATCCCCTATGAGAGCCCCTTGCTTTTTTAGTATCATTAATAATTCATGTTTCTAGTTTAGTGGGTTTTATTCCACCGCAGTCATTATTATTTTTGTTGCTCAAATTTTTGTTTGTTTTAACGACGAAAGTACATGAAACTGAACATAATCCTAAAGTTGAGAGCTTGAAAAAAGAAGTTTTTAAAAAGTAAAAATTGCTGTAGGCACATTTTAAAGTAGGGCAATGGGGTTAGCGTTGATATGTCTCAGTTTTCTTTCAAGTCAGTTAATACCACAGTCAGGATTCACCAAAGACAAACATTGCCTCCCTCGTGAGATAATAATATGTGATGACTACTTTATTTTTCTCAGTAGCTTCAGATCTAGTTGTTTCATTGCAAGCTTCTAACTCATATTGTTTCAGATGTAAGGAGTAAGTACATCAACTTTTTTTCCTGCTTGGATGCAACTGCCTGGCCTGTGACCACCCATTAAAAAACTGTTGAGTAGTGACCTTTACTTGATGCTATTGCAAAGATGGTGAAAACCACAAAGCGTTAGAGGTTCTAAAGTGCTTACTGACAAGCCCAAACTAGAATGACAACTGAGTATTCAGAGGTATTTTTGCGTATGAGTGTTTGAAATGACAAACTTTCTCAAGGCATACAGCTCATCAGCAGCATGCAATCAATACTGTCTCCACTGAATTTTCTCATTAACAGCATGTGATACGGGGAAGAAAAATATCTGGAAGGTTAAATCCAGATTGCAAAAGTTTAATTTCTGAGCCTGATATTTATGGCAAGATTTTTTAAAAGGTGAGGAAAACTCATTAATAGGCTATAACAGCTTGCATAGGTATTTTCTTATGACTGTCAGGATGTCATATAGTTTATGAGGAAAAGCCCAATCATTAAAGACACCTTAAATGGTTTTAGCAAATTACGTTTTCTATTGCTTTTAATGATTGATGTAAATCTGGTCTCATTTCCTTTAGGTCACTGACACGATAAAGCCATAATCTGTTTGTAGTTGAGTGCAGAGAAGAATTTCCAAAGCCCGTGGTTTCCCAGGGGCTCTGTCCCCTGCTGGCCTGGCTCTGAGAGGTTTGGGCAGACTGGATTCTATGCGTCACAGCTGTTTTCCAACAAGGAGAATGGATTCATTCTGTGCCGTCTCATTGATTCCTATGCATCCCAACTTGGAGATGTGGACCAAGTATTCTTGCTCTGCCCCACTTTCATTGAGAAATAACATCTTTCTGTCAAAAGTCAGTTACATTGGAATGAGTTTGGTTCAAACACAACCACCCCTGACATTGAAGGGCATAAAAAATACATTGCAATAACAATGAACTTTACGATAAAACTGAGGGAAAAAATGGCTCCATGCTAAATGAAGATAAAATGACCTTTATAGGCAGTAAATATTTTTGTCACTTATTCCTCAGGTACTCTAGAATCTTAAAATCCTAGTTGTCCCCTCAGCCCCATTTGCCTGCAAGTTTTGTCCTCCAGGCCACTTCTATAGTGAGCAACACATGTCTGCCACCATGCTGGGCTAGATCCATTTGGAAACAGCCTCATGTACTCCTCTCCTACCTGGTTGGCACAGGGTCCATTAACGGGGCCAAAGTGTCTGGCTAGGTTGGCTGGGATTACCACTCATCTCTGCATGTGCTACTACATTCTCCCTTTTCTCCCCCATTTTCCACTGGCACATCTTTATAATATACAACCATCAGCTATATGAGGAGGGATAATCATGGTAGGAGGGATACAGGTTTTCTTTTTCAGCACATTCCAGTGAATTCCTGTGTTGTGACACCCATTGGGACAATATATCCCAGTGAGTTTGCCTTATCCCCTCTGCTGCTGAATTTGTACCTGAGCACATTCTTTGTTTTGTAACTGCACTTCCTTTACAAGGAGACAAGCAGACAAGCCTGCATGGTTTACCCCTGGAGCTGGGTATTTGTCTTCCAATCTTGTTCTTTCTTTATTTTGGAGAAGGCGACAATGCTGGCATATGAAGATCCAATATATTCCTTCGGGAGTAAATTAGAAATCATATAGAATGTCAGTTTGCATTGTGGTCGAGATTATTCACTTTCTATTTGGGCAACCAATACAACAGAATTTCACAAATGAGAGTAATAATAATGAGGATGATTATTGAGCTGGGACAAAAGACTACTATTGTCATAGTATTTTCTCAGTTTCCCAACGTATTCTTATAAATAGTGTGACAAGAGGCCACATAACAGGGAAGTTTAAAAACACCCATTGAATGAATGATTACCTTCAAACAAACCAAATGACTGTAGGGTGCATAACACTTTATGTTCACCAATCTATGACAGGACCAGTTTAGAGGTGAGGGTAACAACTCTCTTTGTGTGTGTATCCTTCTCACAGGGGGCAGCACCATTTCTTGTCTGTGCCACCTCTGGTACAACTGTGTTGGGAGCCTTCGACCCTCTAGATGACATAGCTGACATCTGTGAGAGGCATGGCCTCTGGCTTCATGTGGATGTAAGTTCATCTATGTGTACACATCTATTTAACTGCCTAGTCTTTCTGTAGCCTGGGTATGGAGTTTTCCATAGTCTCAGAAACCGTATGTGAAGCCCCCTCTACTTTTATTTGTGTATGTTTCTAATTTAGGGAAATAAGTATGCCATTTTCTCTAAGGTATAAAGAAGATTCCAAGACTTCATGCAAATGTTGTTTTAGTTTTCTGGATTCCATTTTATTTTCTCCTCTCCTGTGAACCAAATTATTTGGTCCCTGAATCTACTGTCACTGAAGCAGTGTGTACAGGACACATTTTGGACTAGGGAACCAAGGGACTTTGATTTTGGATAATATTGTGCCTCTTCATTGTGATCTTAGCCCTTGGATGTCAGTTTCTTCATTTGTAAAGAGGGGGATGGTGGATGTGGTCTGCAAACTATCTTCTAGCTCTAAAATGATATGATTCCAATCAGCTGGAAAGTGCAAAAATCTACATTAACTAATTGTGTACTATAATTAAAGCAAGTTTCATTTGGATCTGTCAGATAATTATTTAAGAGAGGTTGGGATAACAAATTCTTCAGAATTTTCTAACTTGAAGAATTGACTAGAATTGATTAGAATTTTTCTAATTAATTTTATAAGTTTCTAGGGTTCTTCATAGTAAATTTTTTCATAAAGGTAACTTTTACGATTATACTTATCCAGGGTTAAAAAGATAAATGCAGCCAGTTATAATTGCTTGTTAAGCTTTTTAGTTTTCTTTTCTTTTCTTTTCTTTTTTCTTTTCTTTTTCTGTGAAACCAGGAGGTAATTAGTTTCATTCTAACCAAGAAAAGGGATGAATATGCTATTTAGGGAACTTTCTTCCAGTGGGCAAGTGGTTCAGATCCTTCTTGTAAGAAGAAATATTTTTTGACTTGCGGAACAGAAGGTAACTGAGCATTTGAGGGATATATTTACACACAATTTTGTAGTTTGGATGATTTTATGTTTTCAAGGTGAAGTGTCCCTGATATGATTCAAGGTTTACGTTAAATGCATGCCAATATTTGGTAAAACCAATAGTGGTACAAAGCCCACTGGAGTTATGGGCTTTACTGGTATGCCGATGGCAATATTTCGAGTAGATTATTTGTGACTTCTTTAAATGGGACTTTAATATTTGTATCTATTCACATTCAACTTATATTTCATTGATTTTTATATACTTAGGAGCATAATAATACATTATATCCTAAAAGATAATATGAAGTGAGCACATTTATAACTGTGGAAATAAGAGGAAAAAATCAAATACATTGGCAGGTATACTTAAATATTCTATTCTCATAAAAGAAACATCAAATATGGATTATATAGTTTATGTAAAACAGAGCTAGAACAGCAATTTCTAAATTAGGAGCCATATTAAGAGATTTATGGAACTTAGAAAGAATTGTAATTTATAAGTATGAATGAAAAGATCTCTAGGTTTTCTAAAAATTAAAGGTAGAATCTTTGAAGAAAACATTTTTTAAAGGAAATACAGAAGCCACTCCAAATTATTCTATTTGTGCACACTAGGCATCTGGCAAATGCCTATAGTATTAGATTATATTTGACAGCAGCCCATCTGACCTGTAAAGATAGTATTCACCCATCTGTGTCAAATGGATAAAACGTTATTAATATTACAATAGCATCTAGCTTATCTTGAAGAAACTTCTTATATCTTGGTGGTTTATTATTTTAAAAATAAAATGTTAACAAAATTGCAGTAATTGCTTTGACCTGTTGGAAATCTTCTAAAGGCATCTTCTATAAAGATCGTTAAAAATATTAAAAACTGATATTTACTTTACCTCACTTTGCAAATTAAATTATGATTACTTGTTCTTCTGGGTTTTCTATAAAACCAAGTTGCCCTGCATACATACTGTATTTTATTAAATCTAAGGTGCATTTTTAAAAATACTTTTAACATCTTTGAAATTGATATTTTGATGTCATTTTTCTTCTTTCTTGGTGATATACAAAAAATGTTGAACATTACATTTGAAGATGTCTTAAATTTGGTTAATTATAGTGCATTTTAAAACAACTAAATAAGAGAAACTTTAGTTTTGTTGGGATCTTTTGCCTTCAGTACCATTCTTCTTCCATGAGAGCAAATGGCATTTTAGCCTCTGCCTTAGACGAGAACGTCAGGTCCGGTCCAGTTATTCTTTGAAGCAGAGGCTGTGGCTTCTGTGGAGCCTCACATTCCTAGCAAAGCTTCCAGATCTCTCACCCAACTCTTCATGCCAAGTCTAAGAGAAGGCAGTAGTAACATTGTGTTTAAAATCACTGGCTTTTCATAAAAAAGAATGAAATCCTGTAATTTGCAACAATATGAGTAGAACTAAAGAAGGTTACATTAAGTGAAATAAGCCAAGCACAGAAAGACAAATCTCACATGTTCTCACTTATATGTGGAAGCTAAATATTAAAAACAATTGATCTCATGAGGACAGAGAGTAGTATGGTGGTTACCAGAGGCTGAAAAGGGTATCAGGAAGCAGGGAATAAAGGAGGGATCGTTAATGGGTGCAGGAATATGGTTAGATAATTAGATAGAATGAATAATCTTTGATAGCACAACAAAGTTGTGCTTATAGTCAACAATAAGCTAGGGTATACTTTAAAATACTAAAAGAGTGGAATTGGAATGTTCCTAACACAAAGAAATGATAAATGCTTGAGATGATGGATACCCCAATTGCCCTGATTTAATTATTATACATTGTATGACTGTATCAAAACAACATCATATATACCCTATATACTACTATTATGTATCCATAATAAAAAAAATTTAAATTTGAGAATAAGTAAATAAAATAAAAATAAAATCATGGGCTTTAGAAGCTACCAAATCTCCACTTCTGCCTCCACCTCCATTTCCACTTCTGCCTCTACCTCCTTTTCAGGATTGGTTCTACTATTACTTTATTAAATAATTAATTAAAGAGAAAAAATATACCAAATGGTTTACCATGATGCCTAGCATACAATAATGACAGTCTTTATTGAGAAGGAAAATCAAGTTTCTTCATCATTTAGGTGATTGGTTTAATATTTTTGCAAGTTCTGGAGTTAGGAACTTAGAAAGTAAAGCAAATTGAAGTAGAGCATTGACATCAGGGGTGTTTTCTTTTTTCCTTTAGAAGAATAAATTTGTGGGCAAGCTGTCCTTAACCCTGCCAAATCACTTTGTAAACCAGTGAACTAATGCTTTGAAAGAATTAATGTGATTTTAAAACTTAAATCCAGTTCACTAGGATGGGGAGAATATGGTTTACTTTTTCAGAGAGGAAGAGGAGGCAGAGGGTAGTGCAGGGGGCATGATGGAGTAGAAGTCAGGGTATGGGGCAGGTGGAAGGGATGAGAGAGTAAATGGGTGTGGCTGAGTCCTACTAACTAATCCTTCCCCTAGTTGTCAATGGTAGGTTCTCAATGAGGTTGGGGATGAAAGAATTGAGAAAGGTAGGCAATACTGTATTTACAGTGTGTGATGAAAGTTAAAAAACCTAATGTAAGTCATCTTAGTGTTTTTTGTTGTTGTTGTTGTTTTTATTTTTGAGACAGAGTCTCACTTTGTTGCTCAGGCTAGAGTGAGTGCCATGGCATCAGCCTAGCTCACAGCAACCTCAAACTCTTGGGCTCAAGTGATCCTGCTGCCTCAGCCTCCCGAGTAGCTGGGACTACAGGCATGCGCCACCATGCCCACCTAATTTTTTCTATATATATTAGTTGGCCAATTAATTCCTTTCTATTTATAGTAGAGACGGGGTCTCGCTCTTGCTCAGGCTGGTTTCGAACTCCTGACCTCGAACAATCTGCCCGCCTCAGCCTCCCAGAGTGGTAGGATTACAGACGTGAACCACTGTGCCCGACCACACCTTAATGTTTGAGAAGATCAAGATCTCAAAATCCAGATCTGGGATCCTCAGTGGCAAGGCTAGAATAAAATTTTCCTCAATGCGGAAGGCAGTTGCTCTTACAACCCAGCCTTAGTGGCATGTGGTGTGTTGTGAATCCCAGTGGGGAAGACAGTGCAGAAAGAAGAGAACTTGACTGGCAACTCCAAGTCATCAATCCTATACCTGGGAACCTCTAGGATTTGCACACATGCCACCCTTGAGACACATCAGAGCTAGCAAGCCCTTGGGGACCCCATCATGTTGTTGGAGACTCTAATCCATGAAATCAAGGCTGGTGCTAAGGCATGTGGGGGTCATAAGGCTTATATTTAAAGAAGCATTCACTTTGGGGCTATGCAAGAGTCCAACTCTGACAGTGAGCTCCTCCTTAAATTTTTGCACCCTAGTGACTCATTCACCTCACCCTAGACTAGGCTCTGAATGAGAGAGCTGTTTTTAAATGAGATGTAAGGCTACAAAGTGGATTGTGCTGTACTTTCTCTTTATTGGTTACCAATGGGCCCAGTTTTTGTAATACTCTGAGGATCATGAAGATGTTTCATTTCCTTTATCTTCTGTGGGGCATACAATCATTGCACTTCTTTCTACATAATATCGATGTCTACCTATCTTTTAAAATTCTATAGCCCAAAATAGGATAGCCCTTGCCTATATCTCAGGCAACTCCTAAACTCACCTACTGCATAAAACATTTCCATCACCCTCAATTTGCCGCACTGTACTCCCCAATTTGGCCAGATTGTCACCTTCCTTAAGTCATGATGTTATGAAAAGAGAACGAGCTTTGGATCCGAGTCTTATTTTTATTACCTGTGAGACCTTCAACAATTTACCTAACGCCTTAGTTTATCTATTAAAAATGGAGGTGAAAAATCACTCCATTCACAATGGGATACTCTAAGGGTAAAATAAACAAGGAAAGCATTTAATATAGTCTAAGCTATTCTCCTGGGATTCTCTCGGGAGAGTCATCCTTCATAGTCCTACAAATTAAAACTTAGAAGTCTGCTCAGTTTTCAAGGAGAAAACTGATTCTTTTATTTCCTACATTGATTCTCCCTCCCTTCCTTCCAGACTTGTTGAATATGGGATTTACTTTCATCTCAACTCCCCTCTCCTTTGCTCATAAAATGTATCTCTTTAATGAATAACTTCCTTATGTCTCCAGCTTCCTTTCTCACCCTTCCATGTTTGATTTGCAAATATTTCTGAAAGACATTTGGCTAAAAGGATCTCATTTTTTATTAACAGGAGATTTTTCTAGCTAGTCCAACCCTAGTTAGTCTTCTACCCACCTTGACAATAATATGCTTCATTCATTACATAGAATGCCAACCCATGTCTCATCACAGTGTGAATGGCAAAATGTCAACATTGTGAAGATGTTGTCTGTTATAGAGTCTAAGCTTCAGCAGAACATGGACGTTTAATCTATTTTCATCCACACACAGCTCAACTGGTTAATATCCCAATTTCTTCATGATGTGTGAATTTAAATTCTAAGGGTCACTGGATGTCCACCGATCGTGATGAGGTTCTGGTTGCCTGAGTTGAGACAGTGGTTAAAATTTCCTAGAGTACAAATTAGTTAATATGACATAAAACGAAGTATCAAATAGCACAGATTGAGATTGCCACTGTGGGATTTCTATGACAACCTTCTGGAAAACAAATAAAATTGAAATAACATTGTTTTGATTATATAACTATCTCAACAGGCTTCTTGGGGTGGCTCAGCTTTGATGTCAAGGAAGCATCGCAAGCTTCTCCATGGCATCCACAGGTAAATGTAGTTTCCCAGGTTACAGCTGACTTTAATTTAGGCAAAGGGATCTCTTTGGACATTGATCCTCCAAGTAACATTTTGAGAACAGGCAAAAACAAAGTAATTGTTTTGCTTAAACAAACCAGAGAAAGAAAAAGAAAAAAAAAAGAAAACCTCTAAATTCACCAAACCATTCAGACAAGTAAATTCTGCAGAATGGTAACTTGTATATGAGTATTGAATGTGGATCCTGCTAATGGTAGTGTTCTTTCTGTGGAAAATAATTGAGTCCTCTCCCTACTCTGTTTTGCTCTTTGTTTAACACAATAGGGCTGACTCTGTGGCCTGGAACCCACACAAGATGCTGATGGCTGGAATCCAGTGCTGTGCTCTTCTCGTGAAAGACAAATCCGTGAGTTTTCCTAATAAAAAGATAAGTACAGGAAGAAAATAATAAATAATACATATTTAGATAACACAAGTAGACATATAGTCAAAACATAGCTAGGGTATAAACTAAATATACTAATACAAGTAGTGAATTGGAATGTTCCTAACAAACGAAATGATTGTTTGAGATGATGGATACAATTGCCTGATTTATTATTAATCATTGTATGATGTATCATCAAAAAACTCATATATCCTATATACTACTATTATGTATCATATAAAAAATTTAATTTGAGTAAAGTAATATAAAAATAAATAAACATGGCTTTAGAAGCTACAATCTCCACTTTGCCTCCACCTCCATCTCACTTCGCCTCAATCATCCTTTTCAAGGATTGTTACTATTATTTATTAATAATTTAATTTAAAGAAAAAATTGCCAAATGGTTTACATGATGCTGCATAATAATAACTGCAGTCTTTTATTGAGACAGGAAATATCAAGTTTCTTCATCCATTTAGGTGATTGGTTTAATTTTTTGCAAGTTCTGGAGTAGGAACTTAGAAAGTAAAGCAATTGAAGTGAGGCATTGACATCAGGGGGTTTCTTTTTCCTTTAGAAAGAATAAATTTGTGGGCAAGTGTCTTACCCTGCCAAATCACTTTTGTAAACAGTGAACTAATGCTTGAAGAAAATTAATGTGTTTTAAAATTAAATACAGTTCACTGATGGGGAGAAATATGGTTTACTTTTTCAGAGAGGAAGAGGAGGCAGAGTAGTGCAGGGGGCATGATGGAGTAGAAATAGGGTATGGGCAGGTGGAAGGGATGAGAGTAAATTGGGTGTGGTGATCCTACTAACTAATCCCCTAGTTGTCACATGGGTAGGATTTTATGAGGTTGGGGATGAAGAATGAGAAGGTAGGCATACTGCTATTACGTGATGTGATGAAAGTTAAAAAAACTAATGTACAGTAATCTTAGTGTTTTTTGTTGTTGTTGTTGTCTTTATTTTTGAGACCGAGTCTCATTCTTTGTTGCCAGGCTAGAGTGAGTGCTGTGTGCTCAGCCTAGCACTGGGCAAGTGGTTCAGATCCTTCTTGTAAGAAGAAATATTTTTTGACTTGCTGAACAGAAGGTAACTGAGCATTTGAGGGATATATTTACACACAATTTTGTAGTTTGGATGATTTTATGTTTTCAAGGTGAAGTGTCCCTGATATGATTCAAGGTTTATGTTAAATGCATGCCAATATTTGGTAAAACCAATAGTGGTACAAAGCCCACTGGAGTTATGGGCTTTACTGGTATGCCAATGGCAATATTTCGAGTAGATTATTTATGACTTCTTTAAATGGGACTTTAATATTTGTATCTATTCACATACAACTTATATTTCATTGATTTTTATATACTTAGGAGCATAATAATACATTATATCCTAAAAGATAATATGAAGTGAGCACATTTATAACTGTGGAAATAAGAGGAAAAATCAAATACATTGGCAGGTATACTTAAATATTCTATTCTCATAAAAGAAACATCAAATATGGATTATATAGTTTATGTAAAACAGAGCTAGAACAGCAATTTCTAAATTAGGAGCCATATTAAGAGATTTATGGAACTTAGAAAGAATTGTAATTTATCAGTATGAATGAAAAGATCTCTAGGTTTTCTAAAAATTAAAGGTAGAATCTTTGAAGAAAATATTTTTTAAAGGAAATACAGAAGCCACTCCAAATTATTCTATTTGTGCACACTAGGCATCTGGCAAATGCCTATAGTATTAGATTATATTTGACAGTAGCCCATCTGACCTGTAAAGATAGTGTTCACCCATCTGTAGTATTGTAAGTGTCAAATGGATAAAATGTTATTAATATTACAGTAGCACCTAGCTTATCTTGAAGAAACTTCTTACATCATTGGTGGTTTATTATTTTAAAAATAAAATGTTAACAAAATTGCAGTAATTGCTTTGACCTGTTGGAAATCTTCTAAAGGCATCTTCTATAAAGATCGTTAAAAATATTAAAAACTGATATTTACTTTACCTCACTTTGCAAATTAAATTATGATTACTTGTTCTTCTGGGTTTTCTATAAAACCAAGTTGCCCTGCATATATACTGTATTTTATTAAATCTAAGGTGCATTTTTAAAAATACTTTTAACATCTTTGAAATTGATATTTTGATGTCATTTTTCTTCTTTCTTGGTGATATACAAAAAATGTTGAACATTACATTTGAAGATGTCTTAAATTTGGTTAATTATAGTGCATTTTAAAACAACTAAATAAGAGAAACTTTAGTTTTGTTGGGATCTTTTGCCTTCAGTACCATTCTTCTTCCATGAGAGCAAATGGCATTTTAGCCTCTGCCTTAGACGAGAACTTCAGGTCCGGTCCAGTTATTCTTTGAAGCAGAGGCTGTGGCTTCTGTGGAGCCTCACATTCCTAGCAAAGCTTCCAGATCTCTCACCCAACTCTTCATGCCAAGTCTAAGAGAAGGCAGTAGTAACATTGTGTTTAAAATCACTGGCTTTTCATAAAAAAGAATGAAATCCTGTAATTTGCAACAATATGAGTAGAACTAAAGAAGGTTACATTAAGTGAAATAAGCCAAGCACAGAAAGACAAATCTCACATGTTCTCACTTATATGTGGAAGCTGAATATTAAAAACAATTGATCTCATGGGGACAGAGAGTAGTATGGTGGTTACCAGAGGCTGAAAAGGGTATCAGGAAGCAGGGAATAAAGGAGGGATCGTTAATGGGTGCAGGAATATGGTTAGATAATTAGATAGAATGAATAATCTTTGATAGCACAACAAAGTTGTGCTTATAGTCAACAATAAGCTAGGGTATACTTTAAAATACTAAAAGAGTGGAATTGGAATGTTCCTAACACACTCCACATTCAATTACTCGCTTATACACAGTTACCATTGCCGCAGGAGATTTAGCTTGTCTGAATGGTTTGGTGAATTTAGAGTTTTCTTTTTTTCTTTTTTTTCTGGTTTGTTTAAGCAAAACAGTTACTTTGTTTTGCCTATTCCAAAATGTTACTTGGAGGATCAAGTCCAAAGAGATCCCTTTGCCTAAATTTAAGTCACTGTAACCTGGGAAACTACACTTACCTGTGGATGCCATGGAGAAGCTTGCGATGCTCCTTGACATCAAAGTGAGCACCCCCAAGAAGCCTGTTGAGATATGTATATAATCAAAAACAATGTTATTTCAATTTTATTTGTTTTCCAGAAGGTTGTCATAGAAATCCCACAGTGGCAATCTCAATCTGTGCTATTTGATACTTCGTTTTATGTCATATTACATATTTGTACTCTAGGAAATTTAACCACTGTCTCAACTCAGGCAACCAGAACCTCATCACGATCGGTGGGACATCCAGTGACCTTAGAATTTAAATTCACACATCATGAAGAAATTGGGATATTAACCAGTTGAGCTGTGTGTGGATGAAAATAGATTAAACGTCCATGTTCTGTGAAGCTTAGACTTATAACAGACAACATCTTCACAATGTTGACATTTTGCCATTCACACTCGTGATGAGACATGGGTTGGCATTCCATAATGAAGAAGCATATTATGTTCAAGGTGGAGTAGAAGACAACTAGGTTGGACTATCTAGAAAAATCTCCTGTAATGAAAATGAGATCCTTTTAGCCAAATGTCTTTCAGAAATATTTGCAAATCAAACATGGAAGGGTGAGAAAGGAAGCTGGAGACATAAAGGAAGTTATTCATTAAAGAGATACATTTTATGAGCAAAAGGAGAGGTGTTTGAGATGAAAGTAATCCCATATTCAACAAGTCTGGAAGGAAGGAAGGAGGAATCAATGTAGGAAATAAAAGAATCAGTTTCTCCTTGAAAACTGACAGACTTCTAAGTTTTAATTTTGTAGGAGCTATGGGATGACTCCCGAGAGAATCCAGGAGAATGAGCTTGACTTATATTAATGCTTTTCCTTGTTTATTTCCTCTTAGAGATCCATTGGAATGGAGTGATTTTTCACCCTCCATTTGGTTAATACAGATGAAACTTAAGGCGTTAGTTAAGATTGTTTGAAGTCTCACAGGTAATCACAAATAAAGAGACTACGCGACCCCAAATATACTTCAGTCTATACTTCCTCAGTAAACATCACTGTAGCTGTACTATTATTAGGTACAAAATAAACAGGTGTGACAATTATGTGCTAAATAATATATATACTGGAGAGTAGTGGGCGTTAGTTATCTATGTTGCGTATATACAGTTGAGTCATGTGATGAGTGTTTGTTCCTCTACAGCAGTATGTGTAAGATTAGAAGTATTGCCTGCAGACATATAGATTATTAGACATAAAGGGCATATCTCTATTTTGCGCGCAATACTAGTAGATTTAATGTATAATATACTACGGTTAGAATTCTATTCGATGTAATTCATGTAGAAAGATTGAAGAACACAATGATTGTATGCACCCCACCAGAGATAGAAGGAAATTGGAAAACATCTTCATGATCCTCAGAGTATTTAAAAAACTGGGCCCATTGGTAACCAATAACAGCGTAAAAATACAG